TTTATTACTGCACCGAATATATGAATTCAATCTAACTTTCTATTTCCTATTCTAGTTATCATACATTGTATATCATTATACAATATTTGTATAAAACAGCACTTTATAAGACTTATAATACTATTTGGAAAACTCTTTTCAGTTTATTCGATGTATTCATGAATTGCGCGAATATTTATTATATAAGAATACCATATATTTTGTACTTATTATTTATCATCGCTATTGTGTGCCCTAAATGTCTAGCTTTGTTGCTCTGCTCTCAAAATCGTCTTAAAACATCACAATTTATTGACTAATAAGTAAATAGTATATAAGATTTGAATCATTTATACATCAAATCAATTCATACATTTGCTTCTTTCATAAGTAGTTTTGTTTGCTTTAATATATTGAACTAAAAATCAATTTTTATATAGTCATGCATTAAAGCCCATGTAATGGTGTGTTATATTTATATTCTATTCACAAAACAAATCTCAATATAATATTGTTTACATATATATTTCTGTTTGACTTTTCAATTAACCATTTAATGAGAATTATTTAAAGAATTATAAATAGTTTCAGTGAATCGTTAATAAACGCAGAACTCATGTCTTGAGGCCGTAAACGGAAGACTCAATTCTAAATAAACTGATTATTTATTCATTACTTAAAACCCATAAGTTTTAACTCAATCTTCAAAACATAATAGAAGAGATGAAATCAAGAAATACACATCAGTTTCTGTTATATTTAAAAAGAAGTTTTCATTTGAAACAAACAAAAGAAATAAAAGAAGAGAAAAATCGATAGAAAAATATTAGTATTCTTATGGTTAATGTATTTTACTATAGAATCAGTTGTTTGGTTAACTTATTGTTGGCAAAGCTGTGAAAACATAAATTATTTTCCCAGAATTAATTTTCTGATAGTTTTTGCTGATATTTTTATTTCATTATATGTCTTATATTTTTATGTTAATGTTATTTCTATATTTAAAAGTTTGATTAGTAATTACACTTATAATTAAGTTCTTTTGTGTAGTTTTACCGCAAAATTGAGTTAAAAATAATGTAAATCAAATTAAAATTTTGTTGTTTATTAGGGTTATTATGAAATAAATTATCTTTATAATTTCTATTTATAATAATTTTTTTAATGAGAATATGTAAATTATTTTTAAGCATAGGTTTATGAATTTAAATGAAATATTACGGCAATTGAGCAAATATAGCATAACATTGACAATTATTTATAAAATATAACTGAATTAGATTTTTATGTAAAAATGTGTTTTTGGTATTATTTGTTACCAATAACATTTGGTATTATTTGGTATTATTACTTGAAGTATACGTTAAATTTATTTGAAAATATATACACTCAAAAATAATATGAAATATATTTGACTTTCTGATTCAATTGGCAATAATATTGTATTTGTTGTTTTCAGCGATGATTGAATTTAATAAATAATATTTAGTCCACTATTGGTGTTGAGAATTAGAGCTGAAGTGAGGCTCAATATTATGATTATATCGTCATATCTGACACATTACTGGTCTAAAGAGGGCTTCTTCTGGGCCTCGTGTATGACTTGAATTGCCTTTTCTGTCAAATAGAGATTTTGTGGTAAATGATTGCACTTTACAATCACTGGACACTACACTATACGCTAAAACCTAAGAATATAAAGTTATATCAGAATCTATAGCTCTATAGATATATAAAATCTATTATTATCACCATTTGTTGTCAAAGTTTCGCTCAACTGATTCAACCGATTCCTCTGATTTAACTGTTATTTCTCTAATATTTTCATTTTTATATATTTCTTGTTTTTTGTGGCGATAACTAGTGATGTGAGGCATGGGTTTGAGCCACGGTTTTCAGTGTTCAGTCTTGTAGTCGCTATAGTTTTTTGTTATAAATCAAGGATTTTACGCTTCTTTGACTTAACATTCATTCGCCGTTACATTTGTCATGCATTTTGACATAATATGCCACAAATTGGCTTAACTTTTTTTAAACGCATCGCACCGTCACTACAGTACCACTCATTTAAAACCCTTCGTTTAAAGAGCCGATAATTTTCGATTATAATTGAGATTTTCTATTGCTTTACAAAAAAGCCTTAACATTAATCCCATCGAAAAACGTTAAGAATTTATACTACAATTCACTTGTGTTGAGGACTTAAATTGGATGAGACTTAAAAGGACTCACAAACACAAAACAAACGCTTTACAAACCAATTATTCTTTAATGTATACATGTACTGTATATTTATTAATATATTCACACAATATATCAAAGCCTTATATTCCTGTAAATACGCTAATTTGTGTTTAAAGCCGACGACTAGTGTCGCCGCCATTAAAATAGTTAACAATTCATGTCTTATATATTCAGTTCTGTAAATGAAATATAAACTAAATTTACTTTTCTTATGTCTATCTTTTAAAAAATATAGACAACATTCACATTACAGCTGAAAGTGAGAGTGAGAGGTAGGGCTGACTCTACTGTCACTACAATCTCGACGCGAGTCTCACTTTTTGGACTACTCTTGTGTAAGCAATTGACTAGTATTTAGAGTATTGGTAAAAGTCATCATAAACTGTACGACTAATCGTTAGCTTAAGTTAAAGCAAAGATTTAGTGGTTGGGAGTCAATAGTGGTTTGTCTTCATAGATGCAGAAGAGTTAGCGATTCATAGACGGAGAAAATGAAGAAGAAGAACAAGACGACGACCAACTAGAAAGAGAGTGAGTGAGTAAGAGAGAGAGAGAGAGAGAGAGAGAGAGAGAGAGAGATGACGCCAAACAGCAGAGGGTTGTGGAGGAGATGGGCAGTGGTAAGAGTGGTTGCAGTGAATGGAGTGAACCCTATGCTTATCATTTGCAAATGACAGGTGCACACCAGCGAAAGTGAATGTCTGTGCCGTTACAACACCAGTGCAATACCCAAAACCGTTCAATATTCTCACTACACATACGATTCTCTACCGCCACTACAGTGTAGTGTATATACTGTAGTATGTCTTCAGTATTGGCCAAAAATGCAATCACTGATTGTCGCACATCTGACACACAAACTATTGCAGTTTGTATTGATTAGGGCCTACCAGTGCTTCACCAAAGCATCTGCTCATTGATTTTTGTGAACCGGGTCTTTGTCTGTACTGGCGATGTGTGTGTGTACTAAATGTCTATCTATGTGTGCGAAAAGTATGTGTTAGTGTCTATACTCTATGGCTTAACTTCACTCTCTCGACGATACACTACTAAACCATTTTCACAAATTTTCATTCCTATTATCACATTATCTTCTATTGAATTCTTTTCGATAAAGTAATAGTAATTGCAATCAATCTCTAACTCCTCTCACAGAAAGTTTCCCCTTATGTTCCGCTCTTTTGTTGTGTAAAACACTTCTAAACATGTCTTTAAATTATGTGAAGCCATGAAAAATCAAAATTGTTTGATCGATGGATTGTAATGAATAAAATGTCAACATTGAATTTTACCAATATTACACAATTAACAACATATGGTGTATGATTATGAGAAATGTGCTTGATCTTTTGTCTCAGCCATCATGTAAATGGTTTGGTGAGCAAAGCATCAAGTACATTCCCTTTAATCACAATCTACATGCACTTTCATATCACCACTAATTTCAAATCGATTTCAATTCTTGTGTAATAAATGGATTACAAAAAGAAAATATAAAATGCATAAAACATAAATTTAAATATCAATAAATTTTACAAAAAAAATAAACAATAATTGTTGGATTTTAAATTAATTGCAAATAACACATAAAGTGCTCGTAAGAGACACAATAAGTTGTTGTGGGGCCTCATCTGAAATCTTGTCTCCCTTTTGACCGTTTGATTCGTCGAGTGGTCATAACCTCAATGTAATGGACAGGTGAGCAAAATTTCAGGTGATTCCTCTCAGACACACAATACTACTGTTGTTATCGCAAAATCCAATTTTGTGTTATTTATAGCTTTTATTGTATATTTTTTTATAAATCGTAATTTTAAATAATGTTAAAAATAATCTGTTATAATAACAAATAATAGTAAATATACAAAATTCTTGAAATAAATGTAAAGAATTTTATAAAATAATAAATTTTTTTATTTCAGAATTGAAGCAATGATTATATTTAAGAAGATTTCGAAATATATTTTCAGAAAACAGTCAATAAAAGAAACAAATGATTCACAGAATTCACAGAATTTCTCTTATTTTTTATGTTTACTCCAATAACTAATGCGATGAATATTCTGATCCTTTTATATTACAATAAGTGTATTAAAAATATTCCTATCATTTGTTATCAAAATGTTTTCTCAGAATCACAATCCCAGGAATAAGCTCTAGATAGGTTATTAAATAGTTAATTATATTGATTTTAATTTATAAATATTATTTAATTTTAATTAACGAATAAAGTGTATGCTTCGATAGATGGCACACATTTGTTGGTGTTTTTATACTCTTTATCTAATTTTGTTAACTAATGCTTTTGTTAACTTAATTGTTAACTTTTGTAATATCATATTTAATGAATAAATGTAATGAATGTTATAAATTTAAATTATTATTAAAAATATAATTATACAAAGAATTTTATATAAATAAAAGTTTGAATTTTATTCACATAACGACATATAACACAAATTCTTGTAATTAATATCGCATTCAATTGTTTATTAATAAACTTATGGATCAGTTGTACAACAAATAAATTTATGTCTCAAATAAATTACAGTATTTTATAATACAATTAAAATTGTAAAAATGATTTCCTAAAAAAGTTAGCAATAAATTGAATTGTTTTGGACATTAAGGCACAGAATAGAGACACATATTCTCACAATCAGATCATAACTAGACTATGATTTATTGGTAATGAATAGAGAAATAAATTAAGTCCTAAATAGCAGACCATTAATAATAATAATAATAATTAATAATATAATATATAATTTATTTTTGCATTTGTAATAATTTTTTGATCACATTTTTTCATTAGAGTTTTGTTTAGCAATACTTTTTTTGGGATAGTTTTAGGCAAACTTTAGTTGATTTATACATTGATTTCTTCATTCGCTTAATAATATAAGTCAAAGTTTTTATGCCTTAATGTAATGGAGTTTGTCTTCTGTCCCCTCTGTTGCTGTTGTGCCGCATATTTGCCAAAATTATGCAGAGATATGGCTCTCTTGCCGTCAATGATTGTTGTGCTCACATCACTGTCTCCGTCGTCCTCTCCCTCTCCCCTCTCGAACGCCGAGTTTGTGAAGCCGTCGTCGGTCTCGATGTGAGCCGTCGTCGTGACTGTTGTTTGGCCGCCGTTTGTCTCGACAGCACCGCCCATACGGTCGGCGGCCGTCGAAGTGGACGCATCACTCTTCGTCTTATGTACTATCGTTACCACACGACCCGTCCCTTGACTGTTGACGGCTCGGCCACCACAACACGCCGTCGAGTCCGTAGCTCCTGAGCCTTACAATCGTACAAATTGTTAGTTTTTTTGTTTGTCAATACAGGATATGCTTTCAAATGGTGTCTAATATGTAAACTACATTGTATTGTATGTAAATTAAGTTCACTTCTAAACACTTGAATCCTTATATTTCAACACCACTTGGCGTTTGAGTTACGATTCAAATGATGGCAAACAGTGATTGAGAGCCGGAATCGATGGCAAGTGATTTAGTGAGAGAAGAATAAAAAGCAATGAATATACTTGTGTTTGAGAGTGTGTTGTGCGGACAGTTGTGTCCATTAGGTATGGGTGCGCCGATCAGATGGGCGTCGTTGCCAACGAAGTATCGATAGGGGGTGTCGTAATCCACCTCAAGAATCGTCGAAAACTTATTAGGAAATAGTGTGTCAACTATTGTGACGAGTGCTCCGACCAATACTGAGGTCACACCTGTTATACATTACAACAAAAACATATACAATACAATACATACAATCCAATTGTCTATCATTTCATAGCAATTAGTACTGAATAAGCAAATAATTAAATATTAGTTTCAAACAAACAGTGCTTTCGAAACAATGAAAAGTCGAGATTTTTGTACTAAAAAGATACGAGTTTGAAAAATGTAAAGTGGATTATAAAATACAATATCTATTACAATACCGGCAATAACTATAATGTAATAATTATATACAATTTTTATTGAAATTGTAGTTTAATAATGAAAGGCAACACTGAGTTAATGGTCAGTAATTTCATAGATAATATCAACGAAATTTATTTTAACTTAAATTCCATATCAATTTCAAAACCCTATTCAACATTCATTACAAAATATTTTCATTAACTATTGTTATTTAAAATGTAATTTTAAACTAAAATCGCGATTTATAATTAATCATAACAAGAATAACAAGCATATTCTCATTTTAGCCATAATATGATTTACGATTCATTCAATTTATTTATTATGATATGATTTTCTTTTCTCCATTCAATTTATGATTTATATTAAGCGCAACAAAAATTATGATTGTTTTTGATTGTATGTCAATATATGTGCTCATATGGGATGTGTTTTAACAAACATAATATGAATTACTGTACAGAACTCCTACATAAATCATAGGCACTGAAAGATAGAGTACAATATATAATGGCATAGAAATAGTGTGTATTTGGTATATACTGGAGGACTCGGAGGCCACTAACCTTTGATTCTTATATACATCGAGAGATAAAAAACATTTCAAAACATGTTTTTAAAACTCAATGAATGAGTTGTTTCTCGCAATGAATTCTGGAGAGAGAGAGAGAGAGAGAGAGAGAGAGAGAGACATACAAATCAAGTGAAATATTTTGCAATTCATTGTCTTTACACGTATGAACTCTTATCATATGTTGTCTTCTCCTCTCAATGCAATTGTCAGTCAATATATAAATATTTATTTTGTTGCCAGTATTTAACACAAACTCATACGTGTAATAAAGTCATAAAAATGTTGGTAAAATTTGTAATGTTTTCTAATTTACTCATTTCATTTCATTTGTTGGAAATGTGTTCCTAATTTCACTCATAAAATCTCAAATCACGACAAATAAGTCTAATATTTTAAAAGGAAATCTAAAGTTACGTAAAACAGGCATTAAATAACTTAAATTTTAAGTAAGAAACTTTGAATTTAATTAAATTGAATTAAAATTCTTTGTGATAATTATATTTTAATTATTTATGAGTGCATAAACTCAATGATATATAGTATATAACTACTATTGGATGCCATAAATTTGTTAATAAAGCGAAAACTTAATTAAAATACAATATTTTCTTCACTTTCTCTGTCAGTATTTCTCTCTAATCGTTGGAATTGTTTTTTATTATTTATTTTCAATGAAAGATTAGCTTTGAATTAGAATATCGTGATTGAAATGCTTTCTAATTATTAAATCGATTACTTTATGGCATAAGACTTATAAGAAGAATAAAATTATAATTTTTCAAACATTAAGAAATCAGTCGTTTAACAGATAATTCAAGTTTCTTTCCAATGGATTAATAAATATTAATATTAATGCATTGAAATGAAAAGATACTTTCACTATATATGTAAAAATCGATATTTTATAATCGATTACAAGATTATTAATATTATTGTAAATACAGATTGTTTTAACTATATTTGATTGATTGTAATGCGTTTCTCGGATAAAATATCATACAAACAATTAATTAATTTTCGTCTTTATTCATAAAAAACAAATAAAATCAAAAGTAATTTGCATTAAAACTATTGGAAATTCGTGTATAAAAATGAAAATACACGGCCTTTCGTTCGTGTGATTTATTTAATGTATAATTTGTGTCGATATTATTATTATTATTATTTTATTACTTAACTAAACAGCAATTGGGATCAAAATAAAATAATAATAACAAAAGCGTTAAGATTTTCTCACTTAATGTTTTTTAAATATACAAAAACCCAATTCACGAAAGTGTGAGAGAAAAAGTGTTAATTGAAAATCTTGTCTAACTTTTAAAGTCATCCGAAAAGCATCCCATTTACTGGTTATCCTTTAACATAAGCTATGAAATCAGTTCCTCATTCATTGAAAACAAAACAAAACGCATATAATATAGTCATATGTCCTCAAAATGAATGAATCCTTAAATATTGCTTATTATTTAATGATGTGTTTCCCTAAGTATTTCATTGCAAAGTGAATGCAAAGTGAATGTATATTATATAAGACAAAAATATTTTGCGAAGAATTGGCACAAAATTATCTTTTAGATCACATAAATTGTCATTAATTTCTTGTCGCTCAGACTCTCTCTCTCTTTCATCAGAAATACACATTTTTATACTCCGTTCACA